TAGTGTAATTTTTATAATAAATTGAATATTTGTAAACTAGAGACTGTATTCTTCTGGCTGCAAGCAAAATATATTTCCCTATTTTATTTTTTAAGGATTTTATTCATTGTAGAATATTGGGGTCTACGAGACGCGAGTACTAACGTCGGTAAAATAGGTAACTAAGGGTTAAAGAGATATAAGCTTGGCGAACTTTTGTACAATAACTTCCTTCAACAGGCAGGCTATAAGAACTCTACGTGAAATGTGTACTATTTTCACCCATTATAAGAGCAGTCTAGAGATTAATTTGGCGAAACCGCTGAGAGGGTTCACTACTGATGAGCCAAGCCCTCTCATTCAATAACTCATATCATTGCAGTAAGGTCTGTAGAGATAATATTTGATGATATTTAAAAGAGGCGCATTGCCAGTAAATTTATTTGTGTAAAATTTTAACGATAGATGGCAATTAAATTAAATTTAATAATTGTACTCTCTTTACATTCTGTGTGCTTTCATATTTTGTAGATTTTGTCGAACAGTGTTTTTTAAAAGGTTTTATTTCCCAAGTGGCCACAACTGGCGACAAGACCTTGACCGCTAATAGAATGCAAACAGGACTTCCTGACCGGATGTGTGAGTGACCAGCTGTTTCTCTGCAGCCGACATTTACTGTTGACCGTCTCCCGCCCCCCAAACTTTGACTCGACAGCTGAAGTTATACATTTGTCTCTTGCAGATTTTCTCTCGATTGTTTTTTTTTTTTTAATTACACAAATAATTTTAAATCTATAACGTGCCATCTAGCAAATGAAAATATTAAGACTTAAATGTTTATTTTCACAAATAAATAAAAAACTTCTACTGTCCTTACTGCGATGAAAAAATATTTGGAGAGCTTGGTTCATCAGTGGTGAACCCTCCCAGCGGTTTCGCCAATTCAATCTACCAGACCGCTTCTCAGAGCTCTAATGCTGTTTTGGATCATTCTGCTTATATATGTTACACTGAAGGATGGAATCTCAGAAATGGTATTCAGGTAAACTATGGTCATAAGCTTTTAGGACAGTAGAATTACATTTAAATATTTGCATTGAGCAATGCTCTTCCGCAAACAATAAGTACAAGGTCAGTTAGGTATAAATTAATTATAAGGCAATAACGCACCATTTATACATAATACATATGTTTTTCATAGCAGTAAGGACAGTAGAAGTTTGTTTTATGTGTGAAATAAACATTCATTCTTTAATAATTTCATTTCTTACAGATAACATACACTCATGGACAGAACTTAAGGAAGTTGTACCTTTCAGCATGTATATCGGGATTGAGACAATAACTATGAAAGATATTACAGTGACCTTTATTGATGATACACGACCAAGTGTGAACAACCTCTGTCTCCTTGGAAAAAAAAAAAAAATAGACGACCGGCGATATCAAAGACTTTCCACTTCCATAAGTTTTGTTAATGAGTGTAGTTTTAATCTTTTTCGAGATTGAAAGGTGCTCAAGTTATTCCCAAAATCTTTAGGTTAAAAGAAACTCTCTCCAAACGAAAGTAACAGTTTTTACAACCGTTTTTTTTTTTTTTTTATCTGTGCCGCGGGAAATGTCATCATTTATATGGACGACTTCCTCTCAGAGGAAGCCATAAATTTCCCCTGGTCACTTCTGTCGTAATGTCCCGGTGAAACACTTTGGTCACTTGCGACCATGTCACCAAAGCCTGTAGTTATAGGAGCTTTATAATGTGGCCAGTCTTCCCTTCTGTGTGCCCTTGATTTGGTCAATGCTTCCTTCACATTGTGTGTAGAACATTTTGACCACAATTATATATTATAGTTTGTTTAAATAATTGGTATCAAAATATAATTTATGTGCATACATACTTTGAAATAATTCAACAGTTTTTTCTGGAGATGAGTTTTTTCATTTTATTAATGTAATCTCAAGTATTCGGGCATCTCTGCCCTTCTACAGGAGTACAAAAATTCTTTTTTTGTACTCTTGTAGACAACTAACATAATGGATATCTTGTCAATACATGTACTCCCCTGTAGAAGGGCCGGAAAACTTGAGATTACTAAAATGAAAAGAAACTCATCTCCAGAAAAACCTGTTGTATTGTTTTATATCCATGAGATACAAATCAAGCATGCATACATTCTTTATGAATAAAACATATGTCTCAGAGTGTTTATCGCTTAAATGAAGGCTGACTTCCTTGTCTGCTGGTTCCTTGACGCACTCTTTGTCACTCGTTGGATTCATCAAATACTTGCGGTGGAACTGGTCGTTTTGTTTGTTATCCAAGGTGTCGTCTCTAGGCCGTCTTAATAATTCTTAGCAGGATTGGCCGCTGTATGGAAACTTTGGTCTGGATAGCTGGCCCAACGTTTGGTTTTCCAGTTGGATCTTATACCTTCGCGTAGCTTGGTGCCATTCTCGTCTTTGGAAGATTTGTACCTAGGCCGTCTTGGAATAATTCTTAGCAATTTTGGCCGCTGTAGGGAAGCTTTGGTCTGGATAGGAAGATAGGCCGGCCCACCATTTGATTTCCAGTTGGATCTTGTACCTTCGCTTTGACGTGACTATGGTCTCCTATAAATGTAAAGAATATTTGGTAGCGCCGATATTGCGGTAAATATAGCGTGGCCTCTACATACCATCTACAATCTACGCCATCTCATCTACAGCAACAACAAGGCCCAAATCCTTCCCCGATTTGGCCGGCTACTGGCAACCCTCCCTTGGCCCTCAGCCAGCCTTCATCTCCAGCGTTTGTACTTATTCCAAGAGTGGAAGCAGCTGGTGGTTTCTTCTCGTGGTCGTCTATTTCTGTGGTCAGAAGTAGTTGTCAAGATCTTCCGCCAGTCTCTTTAATGTGATCTGATGGTAGGGCTTCTGGAGGATGGATCCAGGTCTTGTCTGGACACACAGTCGGATGCAGGCAGACCTCACTCATGGACAAAACATAACGAAGTGGAATGTCTTTCATGTCGCCAGTGGCCTGTTTTTTTTTTTTTTTTTTTTTGAAGGATACAGAGGCAATTTTGTTCACACTTTGGTTATCTCGTTTGTCTTCAATAAAGGTCACTGTAATATATATCAGAGTTATTGTCTGATTCCCGATATGCATGCTGAAAGGTACAACTTCCTTAAGTTTTGTCTCTCCATCAGTGTAGGAGACTCGCCAGGAAAGAACACCACGGGACATATTCCGCGATGTCACGTACGTCAAGTACTTGAAATGTAGCACCAAGCACTTGGTGATTAACGGTGGGTTTGTACCATAGTCCGAGTGACTCCACGTTTTATACAAGTAGGAAATATTTCGACCTTGTTCACTTATTAGGGGTCATTGGGGCCTTCGCCTCCTCTACCTCAGCGCGTACAGTCCGTTCGGTACCTGCGGGGTTCGCGCGCACCCGGAAAAGCTCTAAAAGTGCGTAGGATATCGCAGTGAATGACGTATGTAATCTCGGGGCTTATCTCCCCACAGTCCTGCAACACAGGTGACATCATCTAACCATGACATTTCAGAAACGTTCGTGTGTCTCTTACGTTTTCAATGTCCTAGACAATTTACATAATTTTATTGACATCTTGTCATTACATGCAGGGGTGCACATTCTCTGTGCATTATTATTTTAAAAGAGTGATCAGATATAACTATATACAATGAATATGGCGCCTCTACCACCGCTGCATTTTGATAGAAAAATCGCCAGGGGTTTTCAGCGACACCGCGCATTTCGCGATCTACAAAGAAAATGTGTTTATGTGTTAGAAGCAACGTGACCCGTGTCGTGTACATTGTTCACGACATCTTCACGATCCTATTTACATAATGACATCTACACAATTATGACGCAATGTAAATAAACTCGTACGTACTGATGAACTGTTTCATGTATGGATGCATCAAGAGTAAAGGTACACAACATTTATTATTTAACACAGTTGTAGCGGCTGCCAAATATTAACTTTTCATTATAAGCTTTAATTTTTTTAATAACTATTTAATTCAAATATTAAATTATTCATCTTATAAATATATAATGCTCATAAAATATACTTTTTATTAAAATTTTATAAATTAACATCACATTATTTGTTGTCATAATAATATAATAATTATATATCACTAGCGGACGTACCCCCTTCGCCCGGGTTTTACCGGGGTAAAGGTTTGTCTAACGAATCTCTCAATAAAGTGAACATTTTTTCCCGGTCCCTTGAAAAATACTCGATAAGTTGAATAAAATCAATATTAATTGGTTCCCTCGGTAATTGGAAGTTAAAGGAATAGTATCTTGCCTTGGAATTGTATCATTATTCTTGTCTCAAATAAATTGCCGTGTCATCCTGAATTTTGTCTTTCCTAATTTTCTACATTACAAAATCATCGTTCATCATGATAATATTTAGAGCAGATTGTTGAATTATAACAGATAAATTAGAATATTTATCTTGATTATTTTAAAGCGAAAAGTTATTTCAAAAATTTTATATGCTAGAAACCTTCCCAGTACTATACTAAATAACTTCCCAAAGTTTCATGGCGTTCCAATGAGTGGTTTGGTCAGGCATAAAGGACAGACACACACACACATTCATTTTTATATATATAGATTCTAAATATAAATAATAAATCCTATATAATATTTATCTATAATACATCTATCTATCAAACATTATCATTACATTCATCTATTAAACACATATATCTAACATTTTATAATATTCAAATGATATTTGACCACTACACACACACATAAAAATAACATCAACATGTAGTATACAAAGCTATACAACCAGTTTATCCGCATAAGTTTATTTTTATTTATGAAAAATCATTTTTAATTTCAAAGAGAAATAATTTAATATTTCTAACTTTTTGGATGACGTATGAAAAGGTTGAATATATGAAGAGTGATGGTCTATATATGAATGGATGACGTATGGAGGGTGAAAAATATGAAGAGTAATGGCGAACGGAAAAATAAAAGTGTCCAGGAGCGGGAATCGAACCCACAACCTTCTGCTTACCGGGCAGGTGCCATGTCCACTGTGGGCATGGCACCTGCCCGGTAAGCAGAAGGTTGTGGGTTCGATTCCCGCTCCTGGACACTTTTATATTTCCGTTCGCCATTGAGTAACCACAAAGACAAATAGAAACTGTGCACCACGACTGACAACCCGGGATGTGTGCAGGGGCCACCCCCATCCACCCTGGCGCCATCCAAGATGATGAAGCAGTCGTCGTTGCTGCGGTGGACCCACAACACCCGCGCAACAACTACTGCCAACAAGAGTATGTCCACCTCTCTCCTAGCTTTGTTGCGAGACTATTCTGTTGTTATCTTGAGTGGTCTTCTTTCTTATCTCCAACTGGGTGAAGTAGAATGCCTTTGTCATTAAGACTGGGAAGCATTACTCAGTGGCAGGCTGACTTAGCTCTAAAAGAAATGGCCGCCTCTGACATGAGGAACTGACACCATGTGCAGCCGCTCCTAACATGGAGTACAAACGCTGCTCATCCTGTATCCCTGGATTAGGAGCCCTAACAGGGTACTATCAGCATGGCCAGCTGAGCCCAGGTTTTTTAGCGAGCTTGTTACTGCTCCCCTTCCTCCTTTTACATCCGGGCTTGGGGCCGGCCAGGGCGGAGTTTCTTGAGTAGTGACACATGGCTGTACTGTACACCTGTAGCCAACCACCTGATTACAAGGTAGAACATACCTCTCACTGGTGGGGTTGGACTGGTGCAAGTGGTGATGTCTAGTCCATGTAGCAGATCGGTTCATACACCCTTATCACAGTATCGGCCAACTGAGGTACCGTATGGATGTCCTCTTCTGGATTGATGTCTGTCATATAGAGGGCTGTATATATGGTCCAGAGTGAGTTGGGTGTTGTAACAGCAGTTCCTGTAGGATCTAGTCATGTCTGGGTTTATCTTCATTCCTTTAATATATAATTGAGTTAAATAAATTTAAAATATTTGCAGAGTTTCTTTATTAAGGTATCGGGAGGCAAGCTTTCGCGCTTCATCTGGCCACTGGCTCCGCAAAGGCGTGCAACAGATAAAATAGAGATTCAGAGAAATACATTTAAAAAATCAAAAATAAAAATAGTTTCCAGTTGTAGAGGGTACAGTTTCAATGGGGGTTGGCATCATCTGCGTTGAATATGCTGGAACTGTTGGGGTAGATCTTCTGTTTATGCTGTCTTTGGAGATTGTAGAATGTTGTATTTGGAGAATATGTTATGTGACATCTTGTAGGTTGAATTGATGACCTGTAGAATTTAAAATGTCCTGGTGAAAGTGCCATCAAACCAATTATAGCAAAAAGTCCAAGAACTACGGAGGAAAAAGTTTTTTCTATTACATCTATAAAACACTAAACACTTCACGGTATTTTTACAGATGGAACTCCAATGAACATGAGAACAAGGCCATTTTATATCAGGTGTAAATCACTGCAAATATCTTCCTTTATTCATATATTCATAAGTAAAAAATGTTACAAAAGTGAAATTTTGTACTGTGGGATCACAGGTGAATAAATTAAGAAAAGGCATCTCCTGATTATGCAACTAAAAGTTGCTGATGGCTTGCGCCATCTATCAGAATAAATATCAATTAATCATTGATTTTTAATTATTCATATTGATTAATTAAGAATGGGTATTTGGCCAATTCTGGAATATAATTAAAAAATCAATGAATAGTTTATATTTATTCTGATAGATGGTGCAAGCCATCAGTAACTTTAATTGCACGATTAGGAGATGCCATTTTTTCTTAAAAGGGGCGGTGGAAGGATGGTCTAAACTGTTTGTTTTCTACCACTATGACCCGGCTTCGATTCCTGCATTGGGCACTTTTTTTCTGATAAAAAAAAAATGCTCCAATGGCCCCCGATTCTTGTAAAAGTCCAACCCCACCAGCGAGTGCAAGTAACCAAAACGGGGCTCTGGTACATTTGTAAATGCAAAGTCAAATTGCTTTTCACATATGTAGACATGTGGTGTACTTACAATAAAAGCAGTCGCCTACTTCTACCCATCATGATTATCATGGCCTGTACTACGTGTACTAGGGATAAGTAAAAAAAAAAATGTTTTTCTTAATATATTCTAAAGTTTAAAAATATTATTATGTTAAGATATAGGCAAATATTATATCTCATATGTAAAATAGTCTTTTTCTCATTAGAGTTCCATCTGTAGAAAAATCGTGAAGTTAGAAAGCTTGAAATTTATTGCTGTATATATAATAAAAGAAACATTTATAAAATATTTCCGATATTTCAAAGGGCTAAACGGCCATCTTTTTCAAAGATCTCATCCCCTCCCGCGGCAAGCCTCGCATTCACTCGAGACTCAGGCGTCTCACAAATGTATTTATAGTTTAGATCCGAAAACTTTAGTAGCTAATAGAATTTTTCCTGTCGAAGGGCGGTTGAGCCCGAAAGCTTGAAATAAATGTATTTAAAAGAAACTTATCCCTCAAGCTTATTGATTTAAACAAAACATTTCTCAGTTTTCTTGGACTTCTTTGCTCTTTACATATGGAGATTGTTATTTAGGAAAAAATCAATTTATCAATAAAAACAAATAGCAGGGTTTTGATTGCCAAGATATACCAGTCGTACAATACTTCTGTGGAGTGTCTCAACCCATTCTTGCCACAACTACCTCTCCCTGCAGAAACACAATGCTGCTACCAACCCCTATGTTACTGGCCGTCTTATTTTGGATTCTCCTTTATAATTTGCATAAAATCTTTATTGGTCATTTGGATAACCTTTTTATGGGAATTTTATAGTTATTTCAGAGAATTTTATTTTTGATTCTCCTCTCTTTATAAGTTTCCGAGAAATCTGCTATCTTTATTGGTCATTGAATTTACAGCCTGGGAAGTTGATATTTCCAGTTGACCTCTCTATTGCCAAACAAGAAGTAACTGCACTGGACTTCCCATCATTGCACCATTTGACAACTCTTCCTACATTGTCATTTAAACTCAATTTGATGCTATTTCTCAATATGATAACACTTGGCAACACCTAAATATAGGATAATGTTTGAACAAGCAACTTGTCTTTAAAAGTATAAAATAAACTACAAGGTAATAAGACTAAATCCAAATATATAAATATTGTGTGATGTTCTTGTAACAGTGTTGTTACCAGACTTAGACAAAAGTACTGAATATTGGAATCAGGGTAACAGTGTTAAAAGAAAACAAGACCTAATCCAAATAATTTATATAATTATATATATAATAATATATATTATATATATTATATATATAATAATTGGATTAGGTCTTGTTTTCTTTTATTATAATCTATAATCCAAATTGTGCTTTATCATTTTTTGATAGGTAACAGTGTTGTTACCCAAATATCACACACAATGTATGTATTTGATGTTATTACCTCTTGTGTTTATAAACTTGTGTAGAAACACAAGGTGACAAGACCAAATCCAAATATATAAATATTGTGTGATGTTTTTGTAACAGTGTTGTTACTAGCCTTAGACAAAAGTACTGAATGTTGGTAACAGTGTTGTTACTAGCCTTAGACAAAAGTACTGAATGTTGGTAACAGTGTTGTTACTAGCCTTAGACAAAAGTACTGAATGTTGGTAACAGTGTTGTTACTGAAATATCACACACTATGTATGTATTTGATGTTATTACCCCTTGTGTTTATAAACTTGTAGAATCACAAGATAATAAGACCAAATCCAAATAAATAGTGTGACGTTTTCACTCAGTACTTTTGTCTGAAGATGGTAAAACGCTGTTACCCAAATATCACACACTATTTATTTGGTCTTGTTACCTTGTGTTTCTAATCTACAATCCAAATTGTATTTAATGAAGTTGTAGAAAGATGTATGGAGTGATTTGTCAGTTCTTTGACATATCTCTACATCACTGTCAAATGTTGGTGGAATGTAGTTGGTGTTTACCTCCCACACCTCACATGATATTGTAGCACTGGGGATCAGTACTGCTGTCTGTCACTGGGGGACCTACACTCTCTAATTGCTAGAAAACTACCTGATTGGACACCACTCTACACTCATGGTGACAAAACTTAAGGAAGTTGTACCTTTCAGCATGTATATCGGGACAATAACTCTGAAAGATATTACAGTGACCTTTATTGAAGACACACGAGATAACATCACTCATGGACTAAACTTAAGGAAGTTGTACCTTTTACCATGTATATCGGGGTTGAAACAATAACTCTGAAAGATATTACAGTGACCTTTATTGAAGACACACGAGATAACATACACTCATGGACTAAACTTAAGGAAGTTGTACCTTTTACCATGTATATCGGGATTCAGACAATAACTCTGAAAGATATTACAGTGACCTTTATTGAAGACACACGAGATAACACACACTCATGGACAAAACTTAAGGAAGTTGTACCTTTTACCATGTATATCGGGATTCAGACAATAACTCTGAAAGATATTACAGGGACCTTTATTGAAGACACACGAGATAACATACACTCATGGACAAAACTTAAGGAAGTTGTACCTTTTACCATGTATATCGGGATTCAGACAATAACTCTGAAAGATATTACAGGGACCTTTATTGAAGACACACAAGATAACATACACTCATGGACAAAACTTAAGGAAGTTGTACCTTTTACCTTGAATATTGGGATTGAGACAATAACTCTGAAAGATATTACAGTGACACAAGGTAATAAGGCCAAATAAATAAATAGTGTGTGACAGTAACAGCGTTGTTACCATCTTCAGACAAAAGTACTGAATGAGAAATTTTACCACAGCATGTTTTAAATAGTTACTGTTATCAAGTGTGCAAACATGTTTACACACCTGTGTAAAATTTCTCATTCATTACTTTTGTCTGAAGATGGTAACAACACTGTTACCGAAACGTCACACACTAATTATTTATTTGGATTTGGTCTTATTACCTTGTGTTTCTAATCTATAATCCAAATTGTGTCTTATCATTGGAGATTTGGTCTTATTACCTTGTGTTTATAATCTATAATCCAAATTGTGCCTTATCATATTACAGCGACCTTTATTGAAGACAGATGAGA